CAATAAGCAGTTTTATATTTGTTTAATGTTTTCAGCTATGAAGATCAATGTTACCTTTCAATTACATGTAATGAATAATAATTCCCCAATTTATGTGTAATCTAGATTTATCTTTAGTCTTCTAAACAACTAAGTCTTGTTTATAACTTTACACATATGTTTGGAAGAAAAAGCAAGAATAAAAGAATAGAAAGTATAAAAAAGTATTCTACAGGAATAGAAGGTAGAAAAAGTAAGCAATGGAAAATTAAAATGTAGTCTAATCAAGAGAATTTTTCATGTCACCAATTGTGTTCAGAATTAGACAGGATTATCATACCTTATAGAGCACTGTCTAGAATAGACAGTCCTGAATTGGTACTTGCTGGACGGAATCTTGAGCAGATGGTAGCCCAGGACCTATGCATCCAGGAAATTGGGTGTGAAACCAGAAAATAAATAACAAAGACAATATTTACTTCTCTCATATCTTTGTCTTGGAAAAAAATACTTCCCTTGTCCATTAACGTAGCCATCAACATCAGTGATATTGGATTAACTATATTTTCAGATGGTTATAATAACAATAGCCTAGTTGGGCTGACCTTTAGTGCATATCACGATTGCTCTTTCTTTAAAGCAGAAATATTGAAGTAGAAGACTCAGAAAAATACATGACTAGGGGAAAATAAAGATGCGTTGGTGAAGGACTATCTGGAAGTTTTTATTTTGTTTGTATTCCAGGCCGTTATATAATTATGTGGCAAGCTGGTTAATATGATTATGTAATTGAGTCCCCACAACAACCTCTGAGACAGCTACTAAAATTGTTTCCATTTTATGGATAAGGCATCAAAGAAAAATGAGATTGAGCACATTTCATAGTATGAAATAACTAGAAAGTAGCAATGCTGGAATTTGTACCCACATTTTCTGAATTAAAGTCTGTGAGATTCCCTCTGATGTGTACTGTAAAAAACAAACAAACAAACAAACAAACAAAAAACAGCAATCAGTAATCCCCTAAATATATAGAAAGACTGGATGGATGGATGGATGGATGGATGGATGGATGGATGGATGGATGGATGGATGGATGAGGCATTTAATAGACAAATGTAGAATCAGTGAAGAAATTATATATATAATCACACACATCATAATCATTACATTTATATTTTTCTAGGTCTGATTTTGTGACTGTCTTTCCTTGTCTTCTGAGTTTGTTTGGAACCTTTATGGTTAATCTGCCCTGAACTTTACACAAACCCTGAGTGAATCTGCTCGTGTCCCCAGGAGCCATGCTATAAGGATGAAGCTCACCCAGTAGATCTGCTGATGAGGGTTCCAGTGAAAGAAGCCCATTTCTTCCTTCCTTAAGAATGCTTCTGTCTCTGCTAATGGCAGCCCTTACTTAGAGGAAGATTTTCAATTAATTGGACCAACTGAAATTCCCAGAACATTCTTAGGCTCCTGTTTTCCTAAATTCACTGGTGAACTTTATATTATAAAATGTGTTATGCCCTATTTGAAAAAGTTTAACAATATTATTTTCTAAAAAATCCTACAGATAATATGTCAGTTAAGCCAACAGCTTGTTTGACTATGCTAAAATAATGTTTCTCAAATTCTCTTAAATTCCTTCAAAGAAGAAAAAATTTATCAATTCTCCCTCGGATTAAGTTTTTTTTTTTTTTACAACTTTTGGTTAAAAATGTACAAAAATAAAATTAACTTATTCATTAGTTCTAATTCCATTATGGGACATAAACACACTTATAAATTCATTTTCTCCAAAACAACAAAACCAGTAATATTCAAACTCTCTGCTGCTTCTCATCTACAATAAATGATACTGCTTTGCTGAAACTAAATTATCACTCACGATTGAAATATAGTACTGGCTGATACCGTGCCTTTGTTTAAGTTGGACATTTCTATACTGAACCGGAGGCAAGTAATACTTCTATTCTCCTTTTGTCTCTGTTTCAACTATTTTCAAAGTCTATTTATACAGTGTACCACAATGTTATTTGGGCTACACTTGTATGACCGCATCCTTTATGTATTAAATCCACCGCTCCTTTCTTATTAGCTCTCAACATTTAAAATAATTCTCCATGGTATCAAAACTGTAACCTAAAATACAATACCAAAGAAAAAGACTGAAATAATGTAGAATTGCTCTGTTATAATTTGCTCATATAACCAATGGATACTTATTTATTTTGGATTATCTTCCCAATCTAAAAAAAATTAATACATGTAAAACACTCTCAGGCCCTAAAAATATTTATCAATAGTTAAACAAGAATGCAGGATCCCCATTTAAGAAATACTGTTTTGATATATATATATCAAATTCTTAATAATAGAGTAAATAAGATAATTTGAGGTTTTAAGGTTACTAAATGTAGTAACAAGCATGACTTATTTCTGAATTTTTGTAAATATTATGAACAAAACCTTTCATATTAATTTTCCATTCTGTCAAAAAAAAAAAATCCTGTTAAGCATCCAATCTGAGTAAAACTCAGTAAGAGAAGCTTCAAGAATTGTGTATTGCAGCACTATTCATAATAGCAAAGACATAGAATCAACCTAAATGCCCATCAATGATAGACTGGATAAAGAAAATGTGGTACATACACACTGTGGAATACTATGCAGCCATAAAAAAGAACAAGATCATGTCTTTTGCCAGGGCATGGATGAAGCCACTATTCTTAGCAAACTAACACAGGAAAAGAAAACCAAATATTGCATGTTCTCACTTATAAGTAGGAGCTAAATGATGAGAACATATGGACACATCAACATCAAGGGGAACAATACACACTGGGGCCTATTGGAAGGTGGAGGATTGGAGGAGGGAGAGGATCAGGAAAAATAACTAATGGGTACTAGGCTTAATACCTGGGTGATAAAATAGTCTGTACAACAAGCCCCCAAGACACAAGTTTACCTCTGTAACAAAGCTGCACATGTACCCCTGAACTTAAAAGTTAGAATTGCAACAATAACAGAAGAGAGTCCTTGACTTGGGAAACTTTACATAGTGTGGGAGATAAGCCATGTGAACCAGGACAATTCTGTGTGAGATGTACTAAATGCCATAGGAAGATACTACAGTTTGCATACATGCTAATAGAAAGATGCAAGAATGATCCAGAAGACATAAAGGTCCTATATATATCCCAATTTCTGCCATGATTGTTCCACCTCTTTATTATACTCAATTTTCCATAAATCACTGGGGTGCTAGAAGAAGCTACCTCACTCTACTGATTTTTAAATATTTTAATTGCATTAAAAATTAATATATGTAAGTGGCGATTCTCAAAACCTAAAATAATTCTTTTTGTAACATTATTAAGCAATTTAGATGTCTAAGCAATATCTTTACAGTTAATTTAATTTTCTGTAGCCCTTTTTGTGTACTCTTTCCCATGGAAAAAAAAAAAAAAAACATCACTTTAGGAGCCCAGCCTTTCAGAGAATGTTCAGAGAAACCCTACCCAGTAGCCTGGCTTTATGAAAACAAACAGCCTTTTCTTCTCTACTGCCCTCTTCACTGAGTAGCATAGCAGATAATCTTCCTCATAATGCTTTGATGACTGCTAATGTTATTTATTTAACTGGTGTAACTGAAAAATTCTATTCCAACACTAAAACAAACAGCTAATAAGATAGTATTATCTCTTAGAAATAAAATAGTCATCTTCTAAAGGTAAATTCTCACAATATCTAACATGGTCTATGAGATACATAGGTAAGTAGGCAGGCAGATAGGTAGATAGATGATATATTAGGTAGATAGATTAGATAGATAGATAGATAGATAGATAGATAGATAGATAGATAGATAGATAGATAGATAGATAGATAGATAGATAGATAGATGTTGCTCAGTTATGGCTAATCACTTGTTACATAGCTTCCAGCTATAATCAGGAATGGAATTACAATGATGTATTTTAGATACACAGATAGCTAAGCAGGTCTGAGAGTGAGTATGTTTCCTTCATACCATTAAAACAGTTGATATATCTCTGTTAGTCATTCACTCATGACTGTTAGAAAGTTTTGTGATTACGTGTTTGTTATTTCTTCCATTGTTCTGCTTAGGAGAAAGAACATTATAATAGTCAGGGATGCTAAAAACTAGTTATTTGGCATCTCACAGACTGATCATTTTAATTTTGAACCCTCTTTTTTTTAAAAAAAAATGAAACTGAGATGATTTTATGTCATATGGCTTTAAAGATCTTTAAAACATCTACTATCTAGAAAAATCATAGTTCTTTAGAAAGAGACCATCTGACATATCATTGCCTGTTTACAATTTATCTTATTTTCACTGATCCTGGATAATGCTATTTAACCACAAATATACATTTTGAGGCATCTTTTCATATTTTAAATAATGATATTTCTGCATATCAAGCACACAAGCTTATATAAATTACATTTTTAGAATAGTATAAGAAAACTATAAAACAAATTTAAGTTAAATTCAAAATGAATCCTCTCTTCTCTCCTTGAATTTGTTTTACTAGGTATAAAGAAACTAAATTGTTTCTATTTTTGTAAACAGCTTTTACAAAATAAAGTGCCAATTACCTTCACATTGGAGGTTAAGACTTCAACATATGACTTTGGGGGCAGGGGATACAAACATTCATTTTATTACAGAGATGTCATAGACTTCAGAGTTGAAAATAAATTTCTGTTGTTGAAGCCAAAAAAAAAAAAATGTTCAAATACCATATAAGTATTTTTTCTCAGTTCTGTGCTCATTTTGCTTGCTTAGCTTAGCTCCTAGAATACCAACTTCTTTTCTTCTTCTTCTTTTTTGTATATATGTGTTTATGTTTTCTCTGCAATTATAAAAGTATATTGTACTTTTTAGGGGGAAGAAAATGGAATTCTAACCCACTATACTGTTTAGTTACTTTTCCTCTTGCTTTCTGTTTCAGACTTCTTATCATTATATTTTATTTTGTTACTGTTTATTACAGAGGAGGTGTCTGCAAGGATAGTTCAAGTAGTCACTGCTGAGGCTGTAGCAGTCCTGAAAGGTGAACAAGAGAAAGAAGCTCAGCATAAAGACCAGACTGCAGCTCTGCCTTTAGGTAAATGAGAAGATCCTCAGGTCAGGGACTGTGTCTGTTGCACCCTGATCACAGGATAAAGTCTTCATGTTCAAAAGATAGACCATATCTTGTACTTCATCCTTACATGTAACATTCATCAGACACCTTAACTGGGTATGCACTAGGACCTATTTTCATCTTTTCCCACTGGTTCATTGTAGTGTTTGCATAGTCTTTAGTTAGAGGAGTGAGCTTACAGTTAGACTTTTCCCTAAGGGGCCCTTAATTTTTTCATTTTCCAGACCACTAGAAATAGTTATTGTTAAAATAAAGCCAATGCATTATTTCATGACTCCACCCATAAAGATAATATACTAAAACTTTCATAAGAGATGATTATTTCCCTTTACAGGTTTTGGTGAATGATTATACTGTAGCCTTGTTTGGGTCTTCCTGAACTGACTACACAAAACCTATAGCCAGAGCTTTGTTATAATCATGAGTGACTTTGTATCTTATATGAAGTACTGAACTTCACTTGGTTCATCTAAGGGCGCTGAGAGAGTGCTGTTCTCTCCCTTAGTAACAAGACAAATGCCCTCTAGGCCAGGCAAGTCATGTAATGCACGCTTGCCAAAGGAAACACTCTCAGTCAAAGCCTTGCTGCCCCTACTCATAGATAGATGATAGATAGATAGATAGATAGATAGATAGATAGATAGATAGATAGATAGATAGATGTATATACACGAAGAGATATAAGAAAGGAGACTGTCTTAAATTCAATATATATATTTATTTCACAGGTATATACACGCAAGTCATAGAAAGGTATGGTTTTAAAGGCCTAAAAATAGTACATATCCATTTCCCTCTCTTACAGTCTAATATATCCGTGATATTTGATTTTTTGATCAGTATTCCTTTAATTGTCTATTAAAAAGTAAATAATAAAAATAATCTTCCCTCCCAAAATAGTAATTTAGAATACACTCAGTATTTTTAGTACTGTGGGATTTTTTATTAAGGACCATTTTTCTCTTAAAACACATAGATAAAGAATTATCTAATCTAAAACATTAACCTTCAGTTTATTGTTCACTTTTATTCCTTGAAAGAAAAGAAAACTCAATTTTTTAAAACTTGAAATCTTAAAATACACCATGCAGAAGCCCATAGGATAAGGAACTAAAAAGTCACCTGTCATCCCAAAGCTGCCTCTACTAACTACTTTATGAAATTGAAATTCCCCTAATATTTTAAATAGATTTAACCACTGGCCTTAATTGAGAAATATTTCCTTTTGAAATTTCTTACTGTCATATGAGGGGATCACAAATCATGTAAGTGTCTTGAAAAATAAAACTTAGATTGACTGTAAATGAATTACATCTTTTAGAACATTTTTCTCTGGTTCGTCTTCACGTGTATCGATTGCTAAGACCAGAAGTTTACTCAGCACATGGCTTTTGTCTGAAAGTTCGCTCAGGCTATGAAAGTTTATTTTTCCTTTTCTGAGAATACATACAGAAGATGAGTTTTGAAATTAGACTCAGTGAACAAAAGGTTTAAAAAATATGTCCCCTAAAATAACTATGAGTGGTCAAGGTAACACGTTTCCAGATTGAGCAGTTGAACAATAGAGTTCTAATAGTTTTTTCAGTCAGTAACTGAATCCAGACTAAAAACATCTGCCTGCCTGTGTGTGTTTTCATATGGTAAATTAGGGCCAAAATGAAATATTTTATTAATTGAACAGGTAGACACATTAATGAGAGTAATGATGGAATTTTAGCAGGCATCTCTAATCTGTTTTTCTAGAGATGATAAAATCACTTTTTGGGAGAATATCAAATGCTTATCTTATTTTTTAGGTTTTCAAAAATACATGAATCAGGTAATGGGCCTAAAAATAAATCAAATGCAGCTTACTATTGAATCTTTTTCTGAATTTTATAGAAAGGTCTTTTTACAAATGGCAGAACTTCCTACACATCTACCAGCCTAAAAGGATTAATTATTGCATCTCATTTTTCCATTGTTTGATCTTTAGCAGCTGAAGAAACAGCTAATCTGCCTCCTTCTCCACCCCCATCACCTGCCTCAGAACAGACTGTCACAGTGGAGGAAGGTAAGGCCTATTGGACTTTTCAGGGTTTGTCTTCTGATAAAGGGTGAACAATGAACTTCAATCAGTAAGCTCTGGACTTTGGTATTGGTTAGTATGTGACCAAGCTTTGGAGCTATCTGTTTCAAATAATGAAGAAGAAACAAAGACTTTAAATAAATAATCACTTATTTTTATAAAAGCAAAAGTAGAGGAATTTGGTAAATAAAAGAAATCTGCTTGATTAAGGAAGATAATTTTGTGTTCAGTTGCTAAAATAACTGTAGAGAACCCATTCACTTTAGAATGCTTTAACAGGGAAGATACAATTCTACCTTGTAAGTGACTGAACAAAAATTAAAATAAACATAAATGTAATCTCCATAATAGTAGGAGTCAGATTTATCAATGAAATCAACATTTCCTTATGAAAGTGTCAGGAATTATCTGTTTTGCTCACTATAATATTGCCAAGACCTTCCCCAGGGCTTGACCTGTAGCAAATTTAATAATTATTAATGAATAAATGAAGAAGTTAATGAATGAATCTGATGTTGAGAGCATTGAACTGGAAGCTGAGCTCATGACTCTTTCCTGTTGAGACCTGTTATTGTCCATGGATCTTTTTATGAACTTACTCACCATGGAATGTCATGTCAGCTTTTCAGTTCTCATTGATAAAACAAAAAGATGCCTTTGAAGAGTATTCATTCAGAATTTGAGATGAAAGGCACTACTTAAAAGGAAACAATTACTTGTTCTCTTAGACCAGTTAACCTTTGTTTATTGTTTGAGAGTTATAGGAAAAGGCAGGGGAGAACTAGGGCTCCATTGTTGTTTCAAAATTACTTAGTTTTCATATATTAAAACCAGAAGTTTAGAAGTGTTTATGTTATTCATTCACACATTTTTTTTTCCTTTTTACTGTGTTTAAGACTGAAGAACATTTATTTTAAAAGACTTGTCTTTTTATCATTTGTAATTAGGTCCATTTAAAATATTCTTTGATTTCCTAAATATAAAAAATTGAATTAGTGAACCATATATTATCAACTCTAATTTTATTTTGTTACAGATTTATAAACCTAAATTTATCTTAGCAAGGTTTTTCTTTCTTAAATTGAGCCCTTTTTTTTTTCCAATTTACTGCCTGAAATAATAAACAAATTAAATTTTTCTGAGGAATAAAAGAAACGTTGGGGATAATAGTGCATAGCAGCCAATGATTATTAGTTAATGTGATTTAATCTTTTAATTTATAGGTTTGAAAAGTTCCTTTTGACCTTGTGTTTATCCATTCACTGGGCACATATTTACTGAGTCCTACAATGTTTCAGGTACTCTTCAAATTCTGAGTATATACTAGTGAACAAAATGACATGATCCCTGCTTTTAAAGAGTACACTATAGCCCGTAATCCCAGCACTTTGGGGGGCCGAGGCGGGCGGATCACTTGAGGTCAGGAATTCGAGATCAGCCTGGCCAACATGGTGAAACCCTGTCTCTACTAAAAATACAAAAATTAGCCAGGCATTGTGGCGCACACCTATATCCCAGCTACTCGGGAGGCTGAGGCAGGAGAATCACTTGAACCCAGAAGGCAGAGGTTGCAGTGAGCCAAGATGGCGCCATTACACTCCAGATAGAGCAAGACTCTGTCTCTAAATAAATAAATAAATAAATAAAATAAACACTAGTGAAGAACAGGAATCCAATAAATAAACTTACCAATAATTTTAAATTGGACTAGCATTGAAAAGGAAAAGAATAGGGAGCTTTAAAATATTACAAGGGAAATCTTATTTTATTGGGAGGTGAGGGGATGGGTAAGTAGCTAAGACCAGAAGCATGAGGAGAAAGTGTTGGCCAAACAAAGATAGAAAAAAGCACAAGGGTGCTCAGGTGCCCAAGAAGATGAAGTGGCCCAGGAACTGAAGGGGATCCGTGGCTAATGGGTAGTGAGAAAGAGTAGAGCAGTGGAGGGGAGTGTGAGAGTAAGCCGTGGTCAGCTGGGGTCAGTGGCCTAGATTTCACTCTGAATGCAGGGGGAAGCCTGACATGACCCTTGTACCTCCTTCAGGCCATGGAAAATGTTTTTAAGCTCCTACTTAAAGCTTTTCAAGCATCAGAGAATCCTCTTAACCCAGAGAGGGATATGATGTTGACAGAATAGGTTTACTCCAAAAGTCAGCTTGAGGTCAAGTCAGTTAATCTTCTTACTGTATATGGAATTTGGAACAGAAAGGAAAGAAGCAGTGTCCCCCATCCATCTGGGAATCACCCAGCCTGCTTCCTGTAGGGCAATATGATGGATATAATGAAAGCATAAATAAATAAAATGTAGAATCACCTTCACATTTGGGTAACTTAGGTGTCAACTTTCCAGAGTTCCCTAATATTTTGGAATTACTTTCTTCAAGCTGTTTCAAGATATTCAAGGGAAATACCAACTAACCTCTTATTGAAAGTAATTCAAAGTTATTTTCAAGCCAAACTTGTATTTTTAATTTTGTAAACATTGAACTATCTGAAGTTCTGATTATTTCCTATTAAATGTATACTCATTTTTTGAGTTTTAAGAAAAATAGATGTATATATTTTATAAACTCTACCTCTATAAAGACCAGATAATATTCTCACCTTAAATATGTAAAAGATTTGTGGTATAGACAAACTACTGCTTGTCTTTTATGTTAAACCACACTTAAGTAATATACAAGTATTTTTTAAGTTTAGTTTTGTCAGAAAATAAATTAGTGACAAGTCACAAGACAGGATTGAACTGTTCAATTTTTCAAACCAAGTAGTTTGTAAATACTCAGCCCAAATTCCATCAATATATTGCTTATAGCAGGTCAGGTGGAAAGGGAGCAGGTGGATTTTTTTGCCTTATCTAGCGGATTATTTACCCTCCTTGATACCCTCAAAGCAACTTTAATCTGAGGGAGTAGTGACTGCTGCAGTCTGATCCTTTTGTACAAATGGAAGAAAGCTCTTTTGTTAGATTAATTCAGCGATTTTGAGGATACACTTTCTTTTTATTAATTATCAAACTTTTTAAAGCTGTTCTTTCCCAAAGGGAAAGCATGAAAGCTTCCACTAAAAATAATTTAAAATGTTAATTACTATCATTTATGAATATTTATTATAATTAATATAATATTAGTAATTCCCAGGACATGTGCTTATTCTGGAAAACATTTACAAGGGATTTTGATTTAAAAAAATGAAACAAGCTGCACACTTAGAAAAGGAACTATGGTACAGTAAACCAAAACTGTACTGATTATGATGTTTTCAAATTAACCTCCTTTTTCTTTTTGGCCTAATCATAATAGTTGTCATTTGGACTGAGCTATTAGAATTTGGAAGGCTGTGAAGGTATGGAATAATCTGAACATAGAACCAGGATTCTTTCTGCCCTTTTAGCTTTGCTCCAGAATTCTAGGGTGGTGTTTTCCTGTGTCATGGATGTGGTGACCTAATCATCGCTCATCTGAAAGTAGTTTTCTCTTTATGTCATTCTGGGGCAGCAGTAACAGTCAGCAGACTGAGGAGTCCTCAGTCAAAAGCTGGCAGAATGGAAAGGGCTTGGAAATGTGGAGAACAATGTAAGTGCAGCCAGCAGCCATCAACCATATGCTGTGATGCCACAACAAGCAAAAAGCACCGAATCACTAACATTCCACAAGATGCAGTCTCCAAAGGAGGCTGGCATACCAAGGCTGGGTTTTACATGGCAAACCTTACATTAGCCCAGTGTAAATTTTCAAATGCTTTATTTAAAAAAAAAAAAAGTTTGAATGAAAGCAAACTAGGGAAAGTAAAGTTTATTCCTCCATTGAAAGCAGGTAAGCTTTATTTTTGAAGATTATAATTATGCAGAAGAACTATGCGGAAGTCCAAGGTATATAAGCTTACCCTGTTTTTAGCATAACACATTATTAAATGAAATAGAATATTCTGTGGCAAAAGCAGAGTCCCCAGAAGCATGCCCACTTCTAGTAAAAGGATGGCTACATTCAATCCTGACCTCAAACAGCAAACTGTTGTGAAATAAATTTAATTTTTCATATATCTCTCAACTCCAACTTTGATGTGTTAAATGAGGGGAAAGAACAGAGGTACCTGACAACTTGTTTGAGTACACTGAAGACACAGATGCTAAGATGTATGGAGTCAGACATTGTGCTTGGCATTTTCACAGATATCTTCTCATTTAATCCTCCCCGCAACCCACAAAGATAGATAATATTCATTTCCACTCCTTTGCCCAAAATGTCATGGTTTATGTCTGGATAAGTGGCTTATCCAGAATGCAAATCCAAATCTAAATTCTGCAATCACGGTTGCACTACATCCCTAAGGCTGTTTCTTATCAAGGTTCTTACTGTGAGACTATGGAAGTAAATTATCTTCAAATGAGAGTTATTTGTTACAAGCTACTATACTAATTTCCTTTAAGAAAAAAAAACCTTAAAAATAAATATTCCATTTATTATTTATTTATTTAAAATTATTATGTCTTCCATCTCCATTGAGAGTGATCCAGATGCACCTGCCATGCACAACACCATAAGGAATGAGAATCTAATGTCTTCTATCATTATCATTAGAATCAAGTGCCCTGTTTGGCTTAGCCCTCCCTGGTCCCCATAAAGCATAGCTTCCCCGGCATATCTCTAGAGCTTGCAACATAGATGGACTTTAGGCTTATATGTCTTAAACAGAGACTTGGAGTACAGACAGCTCACAGTACCAAGAGAAGATTGGACTTTGCCAGACACTCTTTTTGAAGTTGCCTTGGTCCCAGGCCAGACAAGTACTACAAAGAAGCTACTTTTTCCACTGGAGCTTTCAAATTTTGTGGTATTCTTTTTGTTGTTTCCTGATTAGAGTGAAAGTTTTCAGAATAGAAAATACCATTTTTTAAAATTCTATAGATCTGAAGCTAGGCTCTGGACTGTTTTTAAATTTTGGCACTTTCACAAAGAACAATGACAACAAGAAAGAGGTGGCCAGAA